AAAATTCCAATTCAAAGCCAACTTGACAGTACAATGCATTAATGACGGGGGACAAGAGGAAGGTGAGGTGGACCCACTTCATTATAGAACGTTAATAAATATTTTGTAAACAAGAGGGTGTTATGTGTCTTTTATGAGTTAATGGATTTGAGCAAAATAATTCATAAAAAATCAAACCCATAAATTTCCTAACAAATACTACTACATATATATATATAGTGTAATCCACCATCAATTTATTGGAGATGAAATATTTAGCAGCAACAACGGTTATGGTGGTCGTGTGCGTGCTACACCTGGCGAGTTGGACACGTGTGGGCAGCGTTGCTCCACTAGGAGCTCATTCCGGAACGGTGTGTCCTCTCCTCGGGTTCCGTTAAGGGGGCGGAAGGTCATAAATATCCCGCGGCTCAATACACCGTGGTCCAGACAAGTACTCTTTATTCGCTTCCATTATAAATGAGCGCTGCCTCTTTTCATTTTCCCCACAATTTAGGTCATTTACTCTCACTATTCACTCTTAAGGTACACGTACACACATTTTTTTCTCTCTCTAAAACCTCTCTCCCTTCTCCATTACAGGCCTTCGAAAGTTTAAACGGCTTCAGTTCTAGGGTTTTGTCTTTTCAACCTTGCTATTTACTTTGGTCACTCTTTAGCCCTTTTGCGAATTTTTATGGTAATGTGGGTTTTCTATGTGAGTCCCCAATTTTATTTTATTTTATTTTTTTATTTTATTTTTTTTTTTGTTCTTGAAAATCACATTTCGTGTGAGTGAAGCTCTACCGGGAGCTTCTGTCATGTGGGTTTTTGTTCTACAGCATTTTTGTGTCCAAATATTGGGGAATTTCTGTTGTTTCTTGGCGAAATAACTTGGTTTTTCGTTGATTTGTGGTGTTTGGTTTATTCTTCTTCTTATTTGCAGTTATTCGGAGCTATATGTGCAGCGGGTTTATCTACTGAAGTGGTTAGATTCTAAGGTAAAAGAGCTCCCTTCTCTTTATCTGTAGTGTGTGTTTTTTGGCTTCTTGCATTATGTTTCTTAACATGGATGCTTCTTGGTTTTAATTTTGTTATGTATGAGTATGGTACTTTATGTCTTTAATTTACGAGGTTTTGTGTCCTTTGTTTAGTTTTGTTGTTTCAGGTTTTTCCGAATTATTTTATGTAATTCCCCTTTTTTAAATTGCTAAAATAATATATAATGTCTCTTGTGAAATGAAGATGGGGTTAAGATAAAGTTTATTCATTTACCGATTCAGTTTTTGTTTCACCTTATTTGTGTTTTTTGACATGCATTGATGTTTTTGCAACTTTTGGGTATTTAGAAACTAGAACTTACAAAAGGTACAGATAATAAAGGAAAAAAAAAAAAGCGAAAGAAATGTCTGTTGGCCTATTTAATTTATGCATTTCAATTTGTCATGACTGCTTTTAGATGATTTAATTATTGTTTCTTTTTTTCCTTAAGATCCCTGCCTAATAAATTTGGTTTCAGATTTTGCCCACCTAACATAAATCAAAGTTAGAATCTTTTTTGTATTTGTAGAATCTTTTTGTATTTGTATCAGTAAAGATAAATTTAAGATATCTCTTACCTGATCTACTGCTCGATGTTTTCTGTCAATGTTGGGAAAACCATTCCATCGGGATTTGTAACCGTTAGATCATCATGTAACCGTCGTGGATAGTTGATCTAACAATTACAAACTCTGACGGAATGGTTCGGAATGGTTCGTAACGGGACTGTAGAATCTCCCATGTTTTGTTTGATGTTTGTCAATGTTTGTGTTCTTTTAAAGTTTGAAAGGGAATTCTTTTTAAGAAACTAATGTATTTTTTTTCTTAATTTTGTCTCAAACAATCAGCCTTAGCAAGTTTTTTGCATTTTTCCTGTCTTTAAACTGCCTAGTTTTCCCTTTCTTGAACGGCTGAAAGTAAGTCATTTCTCTCTTACTCGAAACGAAGTAGGTTGTGATAAGTTTATTCCTTTGCTAGTTCAGTTTCTGTTTTCCCTTTTATATTTTCCTGTAAGTTTCTGTCTAACGAATTTCATTTCAGGTTTTGACCTCTATAACAAAAGCAAAGCTAGGATCTTTCTTTTCGATAAGATAAATTGGAATTTTTTCTTATCTGATCTACTGCTGTCTGTTTCCTGGCATGATTTTTCATTTTTGACAATGTTTGTGTTCTTTAGAGTTTGAAAGACAGATTATTGTCATACTCGGTGCATGCATTTACATCTGCTTCTCGAAGTGTAGTGGCATTTTTATCAGTTTATATAAAAACAGACCTTTCTGAAAATACTCGTACTTGTAATATGGTTACTATGATTCAGCACCATTGACATGTGAGTTTGTCAAATTATTTCTGGTGTTTTATTAAGTAATTCACCTTCATATTCTTTTATTCAGATCTGGACATATGGATCCTTCTGAAGAAGAAGGCAACGGGGCTGCTGTGGCTCCAGAAGCTCTGCCCCCGCCTCCACCTGTTACCGAGAATGTTAATCCTATCAAAGTCGTACCAGAAGAAGAAGTTGTGAAGATTATCCGTGCTCCTATGGCCAGACGAGGCCTCGGGACCAAAGGAAATAAAATTCCCATTCTGACTAATCACTTCAGAGTCAACGTGACTAATGTTAACGGGCACTTCTTTCATTACAGTGTATGTCTGCAGATACATTTAGTTTCTTAAAGTACCTATTTTCTGTTTTACTTTTTTATCGTTGATTAACATTTTTTTATTGTTTGGTAGGTTGCGCTTTTTTACGAAGATGGCCGCCCGGTTGACGGAAAAGGAATTGGCAGGAAAGTGCTCGACAGGGTTCATGAGACATATGGTTCTGAGTTGGCTGGAAAAGATTTCGCTTATGATGGAGAAAAGAGTTTGTTCACTGTTGGTGCACTTCCACTAAATAAAATGGAGTTCACTGTTGTTCTTGAGGATGTCAAGTCTAGCAGGTGTGCATTGCGTGTTGTCATAACTTTCTATTCTGTGCTTTGGTGCTTTTATGCTGATGAATACGTTTGATATCAGGAACAATGGGAATGCCAGCCCTGGTGGGCCTGGCAGTCCTAATGAGAGTGATAAGAAAAGGGTTAGGCGCCCATACAACTCCAAGACCTTCAAAGTGGAGTTAAGTTTTGCTGCGAAAATCCCTATGCAGGCCATTGCAAACGCTTTGCGTGGACAAGAATCCGAAAATTCTCAAGAAGCCCTCAGGGTTTTGGATATCATATTAAGGCAGCATGCGGCAAAGCAGTAAGTCATCCTCATTTTCATCAATTTAAATAATTAAATGAGTAAATTTTCAACTGACAATGCGTGTTCTTAATAATGCAGAGGTTGTCTGCTTGTTCGTCAGTCATTTTTCCATAATGACGTAAATAACTTTGCGGAGGTTGGTGGGGGAGTTCTCGGCTGCCGTGGTTTCCATTCGAGCTTCAGAGCAACACAAAGTGGCTTATCTTTGAACATTGGTAATATTTAGGCCTCGATATTTTCTATTTTATTTTCCTGTTTGAGATTTTACCGTTCGACCTTGTACTTCATTGTTATAGATTTATCGCCTTTTAACGACTGCTGAAATTTGTTACTAGACGTGTCTACGACTATGATTATCCAGCCTGGGCCTGTGGTTGACTTTCTGATTGCCAATCAAAATGTGCGAGATCCCTTCTCAGTTGACTGGTCAAAGGCAAGAAGACAGCCCTTTGATTTGAGTATATTCTTTTACAATTCCTTAAAATATTATCTTTTCTGATAAGACTTTTTACCATTGCTATCAGGCAAAGCGCACACTCAAGAATTTGAGGGTGACAACGAGTCCCAGTAACCAGGAGTTCAAGATAACTGGGATAAGTGACAAGAATTGCAGGGAGCTAACGTATGTTTCCATTTTTTGTTGATTTTCTTTATTTCGCTTTCTAAATTGGCAGACTGTTTATCCTTTAACATGGATTCGTTGCAATTAAGCCTTTCTTGAACTCTTGTAGGTTCCAACTGAAGCAGAAATCAAAAGAAGGGGATGGAGAGACCACAGAAATCACAGTCTATGACTACTTCGTCAAATACCGGAACATTGACTTGCGATATTCTGCGGATCTGCCGTGCATTAATGTCGGGAAGCCCAAACGCCCCACTTACTTCCCTCTTGAGGTGGGACATATGTAGTTTGTATACTTTTGGTTTCTCATATAAATTTAATCTTTAACAGTCTTTTGTTGACTGATCCTCTGATTTTGTTTCTAGCTGTGCTCTCTCGTGTCCCTTCAAAGGTACACAAAAGCTTTGTCTACGTTTCAAAGATCATCACTGGTGGAGAAATCTCGACAGAAACCACATGAGAGGATGTCTGTTTTGAGCAATGTAGTGTCCTTCTCTTTAAGACTTATGTTTCCATTTGAGCAATCTTAGTTTATATCTTTAAGCTGCTTCTGGTGTTCATCGCAGGCTTTGAAAATCAATAACTATGATGCAGAGCCTATGCTTCGTGCTTGTGGCGTTTCTATTAACAACAACTTTACTCAGATTGAAGGGCGTGTTTTGCAGCCGCCGAAGGTATGACTTGAATTCAGTTATTGCTTGTATTTTTATTCATATCATGTTGTGGAATTTTGTTTGTTGTAATTGTGGATTGCTTTGCCTGGTATCCTGATGACCATGATTGCATTTAATTGAAGGTCAAAGTTGGCAATGGAGAAGATTTGTTTACTCGCAACGGGAGGTGGAATTTTAATAATAAGGTAAAACATATTCCTGTTAGGCTAATGTCATGTCAGTTCAACATCTTGGTTTTCAGGGAAAAAGAAATTGAAGAAAACTCTTTTTTTGGCAGAAATTCGCGAGTCCATGCAAGGTGGAAAGGTGGGCAGTGGTGAACTTTTCTGCACGCTGTGATGTGCGTGGTCTGATTAGAGATTTGAGCAGGATTGGTGAATCGAAAGGAATAGTACGTTATCTCTTAAAACCTTGCTATTTTTTATGCGTGGGATTATAAAAATCATTTCGCTGGGCATATTATAACTTGTTTATCTCATTTGCATCAGAATGTGGAAGCCCCATTTGACGTTTTTGAAGAAAATAATCAGCACAGGCGGGCCCCGCCAGTTATTAGGGTTGAGAAAATGTTTGAGTTAGTGCAATCCAAGCTTCCTGGTCCACCAAAGTTTCTACTCTGTTTGCTTCCCGAGCGGAAAAACTGCGACATATACGGTTTGTTTTTATTTTTCGCATGAATCAGATTTTCTCACGAAAATTAATTATGAATACCACTTACATATGACTAATAACTTGAGCTGAAAATCGTCAAAGGCCCGTGGAAGCGTAAAAACTTGGCAGACTTTGGGGTTGTTACTCAGTGCCTGGCTCCCTCACGAGTGAACGATCAATATCTGACTAATCTCATGCTGAAGATCAATGCAAAGGTTAGTGGGTGATACAGAATCTGTATCCTGTGGTCATGAGCACTTTATTTGATTAACGATTTCCTGAGAGAAAGCACTTTCTGGCGGCAGCTTGGAGGGCTGAACTCTGTGTTGGCTGGTGAGCTGTCGCCTTCAGTGGCAATTCCTATGGTGTCTAAGGCTCCCACTCTCATACTCGGCATGGATGTCTCACATGGATCGCCTGGACAATCTGATATCCCTTCAATTGCTGCGGTTACGTGCTGTGATCCATTTTCTTGAAATATTTATGCATCTTAGTTTTATTCAGCATCATCGTGCTTATTTCAAATTATTTTCCTTCACACAATAACGGAACATATTCCTTGTCTTTTTCTCAAGGATAGAAAAGGAATTCCAGGATTTATAACTAAAGACTTACTATTATTAAAAAAACCCAGGTTGTTAGCTCAAGGCAGTGGCCATCAATATCTCGTTATAGGGCATGTGTCCGAACTCAATCCCCAAAGGTTGAAATGATAGATTCCCTGTTCAAACGTGTGTCTGACACTGAAGACGATGGTATATTGAGGTGAGTTTTCCGGTTTATGTTTGCTGTTGTCTTTTTGTATAATGGGATTTTGTTAGTGGGTTTCACGATTTTGTTTCATTAGTCATAGGATGTGGCTGGTAATGTTTTCTGAAGGCATGGTAATGCCGAGTTGAGAAGACATTTGGATGGAGGAAACAATCAAAGACATTATAAGAATTCAAAATATCTTTATTGATTTCTTGTTTTTATTTATGTATATATTTTTTTGTGCTGTAGAATTACGAGGCATGTGATTAACTGTAACTCGATATCTTGTTTGCGTTTATTGGGCTGCAGGGAAGCTCTCATTGATTTCTATATCAGCTCTAACAAGATGAAGCCTGACCAAATCATCATATTCAGGTAATTTGAAGACGAGCTAAGCTCCGATGACAAGATTTAAGTAATATGTTTGATCAACATTTACGGTTTTCAATTAATGGATTCTTTTATGTGACTCCATTGAAGAAGGGGAGAATAATTATCTAGCATGAAATCAAATATAATGCACTTAGGCACCTAATTATGATGTCGGCCACTTAATTCAATTTTGAATGGAGTGATCTTTCTTTTGATAATTGTATTGCGAATTCACCTTATTTTTCTTGAAATAATATTATTCATTTTCTACCTACCTTTTGTCTAATATTGATCACTGACTTACGTTAAAATTGCAGAGATGGTGTGAGTGAATCACAATTCAACCAAGTTCTGAACATTGAATTGGACCAAATTATAAAGGTTTTGACCTTCACCACTGTCCCAATAAATTCTGAAAACTTCTGTATGTTTTTTTTACAACATGGTGAAAGCATCTGGTTCAAACTTGTCTTTCTTTCATGCAGGCTTGTAAGTTCCTCGACGAGAAATGGTCCCCCAAGTTTGTCGTGATTGTTGCTCAGAAAAATCACCACACAAAATTCTTCCAAGCAAATTCTCCCGATAACGTGCCCCCAGGTAATACACGTCTTCATGTTTTCATCTCCACTTATACATTTTTCCAATATGCTTTATACAATTTCCCAATATGCTAGCACTGATCTTTTTGCTGTTCGTGATTTTGAAGGGACGATAATTGATGATAAAGTGTGTCACCCCAGGAACAATGACTTCTACCTATGTGCACATGCAGGAATGATTGTAAGCCTTCTCATTTCGTTTCATCTTAATCACTTAAAAAGTATTTGTAATTTGGTTCACATATATATTGGTATGGATTATTTTCTTTAAAGGGAACAACCAGGCCAACACATTATCATGTGCTGCTAGACGAGGTTGGTTTTTCTGCTGATGAGTTGCAGGAGCTTGTTCACTCCCTCTCATATGTGTAAGCGCGCGAGACCCTTAGCTTTTTACATGAGAATACATTATTATCTATTTGTGGAAAACTCTTCTTGAAATTATTATGTCCGTTTTATTTCAGGTACCAGCGCAGTACCACTGCTATATCTGTTGGTAACTAAGTGCAAAACCCTATCAAGCTTCTCTTAATTTTCTCCATTAATTATTCACCCTTGGAAGTTTTATCTAGTTTTTTTTTTGTTTTTTTTTTTTAAATGGTCGAACATAATTCATCTTTGCAGTTGCACCGATTTGCTATGCTCACCTGGCGGCCACCCAACTGGGCATGTGGATGAAGTTTGAAGAAGCATCAGAGACTTCGTCGAGCCAGAATGGGTCCGGGGCCGGTGGGGTCCCGGTTGTGGCCCCAATGCCCAAGCTGAAAGAAAATGTCCGCAACTCCATGTTCTTCTGTTAGAAAGGCCTGTGTCCCGTGTTGGCCCTACTCGTGAAGTTTAATGTAATAAAAAGTTCAGACGCAGTCCGATTGCATCTTTTGTCTTAGGTTTGTGTACTTCTGTTAAGAAAACTGTGTGTTGTAATGTATGCAGAACTCTATAAGTAGTCTGCCCTTTATTTAGGTGTTTGAACTCAATCAATAGTCCCTTTTGGCCTTTTAGGTGGTTTGATCTGAAGGTTAGTGTTCTCTATTGGTAGTGTTTTGGATTGTGGTACGCTGTTTGAATGATGATTGTATGGAATGATGTTATGTAATGATAAAGTTCTAGGTTTATTTCTCCAACTCTATTATATTCAGTATTATTAATATAACTAGTACAACACCCGTGTATTACACGGGTGCTTGTTAAAAAATTATTCTTAAATTTTAAAATTTATGAGAAAATTATATTAAATTTAGTTTACTTTTTTATAAAAAAAATATATTACTATATATTTTAGAATGATATGTGTTACTTATGACTTACATGTGTTATATTAGTAACTACTTGAAATATAAATATATTAGTCGATAAATAATTTTATTTTTCTAATTAATATTAAAAATAATTTTATTATTGTTATAAAGATAAATATAAATTATCTTTTTTATACCTACAATATGGATGTTAAATCGAAGCTCATCAAAAGAAGATTAATTTGATATATTACATATGTAAAACTGATAAAATATACAAAAGTTATTAACTTTTAAAATACATATACAATTCAATAGTTATAATAAGGAATGATATTAAAATGCAATTAATGAATGTAACATGACCATAAATAATCAACATATTTATGGTAATCCGAACCTAATTATTTTGGTTTGGAATTAAATTAAAATTTACCCAAGCCTAGTAACGAAGCATGTAATTTTGCCACATAGGATTCCGAAGCACCAGAAGCAGCCACGTAGGCTCAACACGTTCTTTATTAATATATGGAGGATTAAATAATATCAACAATTATTATTATACATTATATCAATTTTAATTCACTATTCATTGATTTATATAATTTTAATTAACTACCAATTCATATCATCTCTTTTATTTTTATGTCAAATCAACTTTAATTATTTTAGTTTAAATATAATTTTAATATAACTTCAAAATCTCACTAACAACTTGACCATACCATAATTATTTTAGTTTAAATATAATTTTATATAACCTCAAAAACTCACTAACAACTTAACCATACTAACTTTTTTAAAATTGACTTTGTTCAACCAAAAAAATAAAGTCATTTTTAATAATTAAAAATATATGAGTTGATTAATAGTAATTTTGTTGGAATGTTCATGAATCATTTCATTTGGGAAATTTTTACAAATACTATACGATTTGAAAGATTTTTCAATTTTACCTTCATGGAACAAGTAATAGGAAATATACCTAATCAAACTAATTTATTTATGAGATTGTCTAATATCAGTTACCTTGTGTAACTTCCTCTATCCAATGTTTGTGGCGTGATTTCCGCCATGAACTACCAGGAAAAATAATAAAAAACAAAACAAAAAAATCGTAATCTTCATTTCAAATTCATATCAGACCAAAATTTATGGAAAAAGATATGAGATTTGAATTTGAAGAGTACTCATAATCGCGACAGCTAAAAAAAAGCCTACGTGATCGATCGACAATAATTCAAAGATATACCGAAGATATAAACCATACATATACCGAAGATATACTGAATATAAACCAAACATATGACGAAGATATAACGAAGATATATTGGACATATACCGTACATATACTCCAAAATAAACCATACATATCCATGATTTTACTAAATATAAAACCATTCATATACCGAAGATATACTAAATATAAACTATGCATATGACGAAGATATACCAAAGATATATTGTACATATACTCCAAAATAAGTCAAACGAAAAAAAAAATCTCAAAAAAGTTGTCATGATTTTTTTCTTCTTTACGGTTGTTCTCAGCCCTCGTTCGAATTTGCAGAGGTTGTTCTCTTTCGTTCGAATTTGATCGGAAATGAAGAGCGAGAACAATTAGGATTTATGGATTTCTGGATTTTGATTTAATATTTGAAACCGGTGAAGAAATTGGGATTTAGGGCAAATGGAGCGGAAGTACAAAGCTTCGATCAATCCCAAGTTCGGTGGAAAACAATAGATTAAGAAACTGAACCAGTTAATTGTGCCTTCTAGTATTGATCAATTTGGACACGCCAATATAAATTCACAAGAAAAGAAACTAAAACAGGCGAAGAGAGAGAAGAATATTGGCACTTCAATTATTGGCTTTAGGAAACCATACATGATTTAAACGGGAGAAGAGAGAGAAGAATAGAGAAAGAGTAATTTTGTATCTTTACAAATAAATATTAATTAGATGTGAAGATGTAATATAAATTATATTTGATAGTAACGGGTGTAAATTCCTCTTATCATTTTAGTTTAGAATTTTACAAATACAAATTTTAACTGGTTCACAATCTTTATTGATACCTAATTTGACCACGAACAATAAAAATACGACACGTGAAAAATAAACGATGGTCAAAATATGTATTAAATAAATATACAAATAACATGTTTTCAGAACCAATTCAGAGCTGACCGAGCTACTAGCACTTTCACTTCCGAGCCAAGCAGAGTTTAAAGTGATCGGCCGACCCATATACCATAAAGAAACCGTCTTTAGAGGACGTGCATTTCCAACAAGACAAACATCTATCAAAACCGTCAAGTGTCATAATTGAGCCCCACACGATCACATTACATTAAATATCATCACGCGATCACATTACATCAAATATCAGTGTATTATTTTATTCCAAAAAATGGTTGTCCACATTATAAGGCCTTAAAAAGGGAGGCCGTCATTGGTAGGAAAATTATCTTCTCCCAACATCATAAAGAGAGAGGAAAGAGCTCTCTTCGAAGAAAA